TAACATTGATGTTTTAGTTTTATAGCAAAGGTGTTGGAAAAGAGCAAACACTTATTACTTGAATTCGTTGCTTTGTGAAATGTTTGGTAAAAACCTAGTTTGATAAAGATTGATTAGTCTTTATAAAGTTTAAGGGTATATGCTAGTCCAATATTTAGACGAAAGCTCATATAAATTATATACGTTTACTTTTTTTTTAATACTTTATACTCAATTATAATAACAGTAATCCGATATTATCAATCATTAATCATTAAAGGCATTATAAAGAAAAGATTCTTCATTAAAGACAACATTTTTATATATGATGAAACGGTCGAAGACGAGCCAATGTATGTCATTAAATGACCCGTTATAAATGAAAAATGGTTGACATTTTTCTGTCGTAAATTTACGATGGACATTTATGACGTACAATTATAAACGGCATACATGACATATGTTAATGAAAAATTTTATGGTATCAAGTGAGAATTTGATTAAATTTATATATACTTTAAATATTAATGTTGCTATGATAGTATAATACATGTTTTTATATCTATGATTTTAAATCTGAAGTATCACATAATCAAAATCAATTTTTATTATGATAGCTTTAATTAAATGGATAATCACAAATGTTATATATATATATATATATATATATATATATATATATATATATTATATATATATATATGACGCGATAGGTTAAAATCTTTTTTTTTTGGTAAATTAAAAAGAACAAAATCGTCATTTTCTCGTTTCAACTAAAACTATATACACAGTTTAATACATATACTTCATACACTCATTCACAATCTAATGTGAAACGATTATGAAAATAAATACTTTCATACATATTTATACGTCACAAAAATATATACATTTACCAAAAAATATTAATACAAAACATTCATTTTTTCATTATTCACATTTTAACACAAAACTTATACATCCATACTTCATTCACAACTTGGTATAAAAATTTATATGTTCACAACTTAATACAAAAAACTTATATACGTTTATATCATTCATAACTTAATACCAAAAAATTATACATTCACAGCTTAAAACTTATCATTCTTTCATTTAGGTGTTTCATTAAACACCTTGTGCACACTATCATTTCAGAACTTAATACAAAAAAATATGTTCACAACATAAAACTTACCATATTTTAATGAGATATTTCATCAAACATCTTATGTGCATAAGAACCATAACAAACTTTCCACTCTTCAATTTTTTTTCGATTATAGATCACAAGTTCATGATTATTTTCCGATAACAAAGCTCATGGTATGCAATTCGGGAAACATGTTTAAGAGCCTTGTAAATAGAATTGGTCATATCAGATATAATAACGGAATTCCCAACATTCCCCCATGCATTCCTTTAGCCTTGCCAAAAACTATGCCTATGTACTTCACATATTTCATTTTGCCCGCTCCATAAGCTAGGGCAATTCGGTGGTTTCCGAATCATTACAACGGCTAAGAGCATGGATCCTAAGTATTTCTTTTTAGGAGGGCTTTATCTATTATGATCACTAGTCCCAAAATAGTTTAAAAATCTACAAATCTACAAATTATTAGACAATCAATCAAAACACTTGATTAAACTGAAACTAAAAACTAATATCGTATTTTAAAATAAATCTAACCACACAACTACCGGAGATAAATAGAAAGTCAAATCAATCGTAGCCATCGGTCTCAATGTTGGTAAGGTGTTGTTTGTTTTTTCGAAGCGAAAATTCATGAAGTCTGCGGACCACCTCTGCAATCCTCTGTAGCAGAAGAGGTGGAACAAACGGCTGCAGCCTATAATAAGAAGCATGTTTGTTTTTTAACATCTGCAGACTGCTGCAGTAAACTGAAATTTAAATAAACTAATTTTATAAACTGAAAATAGTTCTCAACACCGAAATTTAATAATTCTAGTCTTAAAACATTGAAATAATAATAAAAAATGTAAAAAAACAAAAATATAAAACTTTTTTTTAAAAAAAAACTTAAAAAAATATAAAAGAAGCTAAAAGTTTTATTCTAGAAAAAAAACTAATTTTAAAAAACATTAAAAAAAATAATAAAAAAATTAAAAAAGTATTGCAAACGATGTCTACAAAGTTCGTAAAAAATTACACACGTTAAAAAAGATGCAACTGAAATTAAAAATATTATTAATAGAAACGGTAAAAAAAAATTAAAAAAATCAAGTTAAAAAAATCGTGGAAACTATAAAAATAAATTGTATCACATCCGTAAATAAAAATTTAAGAAAATAAAAGTTTAAAAAAAATAAGTTATACAAAAATTCTTATAAAAACACTTGAAAAAAATGAAAGCTGGAGAGTTTAGAAGTAGGGGTGTTCAAAAATATCCGTATCCGAAATTCCGATCCGAAATTCTGAAATTCCGAAGCTGAATTATCCGAAAAATCGGATATCCGAAATTTCGGATATCCGATTTTTCGGGATCGGAATTGGATAGTGTTTTTCAAAATTTTCAGATAATTCGGATATCCGATATCCGAAAATTTTGATTTTAGTTTATACATTATTTGTTATTTTTATCACATATGTCTTATAATTTGAATGTTAGTAACTAAAACATATTTATAATATCCTTAAGTAAATACATATATTACTTCATATGCCTTTCTAATTTAAAAATGTCTTTCTAATACAAAACCTTTCAAATTTGAACAAAATTTCAAATTTTCGGATATCCGTTTTGGTATCCGAATCCGTATCCGAAATTTCGGATATCCAAAACTTCAGATATCTGAAATTTCGGATACGGAATCGGATACCAAAAATCAACTATCCGAAATTTCGGATATCCGGTTATGAACACCCCTAGTTAGAAGAAGCAAGTCAGGTGTTGCGCCATGCAGCACACGCGCAGAGGTTTTGTACTCTGAAGTCTTCCAAAAAACAAACTGCTGCGAGAGGGAAAGTGCTGCGCGTGTGCTGCACCGCGCAGCAATAAGTGGTTTGAGGAGGTTTTTATAAAAAAACAAACAACACCTAAGTGTTCTTGGATTCACTTTTTCCGGATTATAACAATATATATGGAGGTCGGAAAAACTTTCTTTATGGATTCTGTTGGATGAACTCTCGTTTCGCAACAAAATTGTATATCGGTGGTTAGTGTGATGATAAGTTTGTAAAAACTTTAACTAACAACACATGGAAAAAAATATGGACTCTGAAACTGTTGTCCCAAAAAAACAACATTAGGTAAATTAATTCCAAGATATATTTTAATGGAAAAGTAATTTGAAATGTCAACTCCAAAACAGTTTAAATTTCATTTCATTAGAAAACCTGACACTGGGATACTCATGTATTTTTAGTGTGAAACATTGTGTTTCTAACAACTTGGTTATTTCAACAAATATCCAAAAATTGGATCGGTTTGATATATACAAGAGGTTATTTACTTATTTTATGATTATCCTATAGATATTTCATATTCCCCGAAAACACATATTGTGCACTTGTAAAATATTGTCTAGTGTAAAGTCCCTACTTGTATGTTATTTCCCCGAACACCACAAAGTTCAACCACTCGTGGCTTGGTTGGTCTGGTTCCCACTAAAGGAACTAATTGGCTCTCTGACTCGAATCATGTGTCCACACAATGTGCTCTCTGACAAACATGCGATTCCTTATTGTACATTTGATGTTGTGATATGTATTGAAATTTTAAATATGATTATACAAACTAAATTATTATAATAACATTTTTTTATTCATAGTTAATTGCTTGGAGAAATTGTACGCGTTGGACTTTATGCTTGGCAAATTCTATATGTTTCCGTTTTAGGTCTTCTTCTAAAATTCTACTAGTTACCTCGTTAGTGATAAAATAACTTGATCAAAATATTATATTTGTTCAATCTTTTTATATAAATAATGAAAACATGTAGTTTTCGTATCTCATAGTAAATGTAAATTGTAATAGTTATTTTTTCTCATTTCTTTGAATAAATAAAACGTTTTTACGCGTAAATCTAAATTCCTTAATTGGTGTATTACTTGTTGACTTGTTGTCAAAAGGTCATGCTCCTAGCACTTATTTTAGTATTTAAAAAGAAAAACAATTTCGTTATTATAAACGAAAACAGATTAGATATATAAATATTAATCCAGATGCGAAAAGGTTTGCCGTAATAACAAAAAGATTATCTAGATTAAATTCTTTACCAGTTACAATCAATATAGAACTTTTAGATCTTTTGTAAGATTCAATCACTTATACGATCTTAGTTGAAATTATTAACTTTGATTTTAACAAACTAATTTTTATAATTTGTATTTAGAGTGGAGAATTTTGAGTAATCAATAAATAGGTACATAATTTTATTAGACGTACCAAATATGTATTTTCCATAAAATCATACAAATACAATGACTTTCCCTAAACCAACCATAGAAAATTTGGGTAGGTTTAGCAAAAATAACTAGTAATCGGACACTATAGATTTATTTGTTTATAAGTGTTTGATAAAAGTATTTATATGTTTTTAAAATATGTAAAATTACATAAAACTAAACTTTTGAATTTATATTATTTGTTTAAATTAAAAGCTAAAATTTTGTATTATCGATATGTTTTTAATTTGATTTTTTTATTTAAATTAGAAAACTAATGGCTTTCAAATGCCCAAACTTGATTTTCAATTTCAACTTATTGAAAATAAATTAATTATAAGTTTAAAACTAAAGACTTATAGAAAATTTTCTAATCAAACAATATATTTAAAAAAAAAAATGTAGTTTGGTTCGTCGATATTTTGCGTCGCCTTTCTTCAAGTATGCAACACGTGGTCTCCTCTTACATGTTTCCGGTGGTGGACCTTCCCCACAACCTTCCCCTACTATTTACTATTTATACCCCTTTCTGTTTCTTCCTCCTCAATCACAACCTCTGTTTCTCACTCCTTTCCACCAACTTTCAAATTGCTCACAGGAAGCTTAAGAAAAAAGCTTCCAAATTGCTACAATGGCGACTGCTTCCACTTCTTCTAGTACCATTTGGGCTAACCCCAACCCCAGAACCACATTCTCATCGTCTCCTAAACTCCCTTCTTCCTTTTCAGTTTCTTCCAGGAAGAAACTGAAAAAAATCAGTTGTGCTCTTCAATCACCTTCGATTCTCCAATTTCCCAAACAATCTCCCTTTCAATTACCTTCTTCGACCCCGGATTCATGGAACTTGTTGCAGAAAATTTCAGCTATGGCATTGGACGCAATCGAGAATGGTTTAATAGAACAAGAAAAGAAGCACCCTTTACCCAAAACAGCTGATCCCAAAGTTCAAATTTCCGGAAATTTCTCTCCTGTCCCGGAGCAATCTGTTCGCCACTGCTTACCAGTCGTCGGAGAAATTCCAGAGCATGTTCAAGGCGTGTACTTGAGAAATGGGGCTAACCCGTTGTTCGAGCCTACTTCCGGCCACCATTTATTTGATGGCGATGGTATGATCTACGCCGTGAAGTTTGAAAATGGATCGGCGAGCTTCGCTTGCCGCCATACGGAGACACAGAGGCTTGTCCAGGAACGTGCTCTTGGAAAGCCGGTTTTTCCAAAGGCGATCGGAGAACTCCATGGCCATTCTGGCATCGCTAAGCTGTTGTTGTTTTATGCTCGTGGGTTATGTGGATTGGTTGATCACAGTCAAGGCATTGGGGTGGCGAACGCCGGTTTGGTTTACTTTAACAACCGGCTTTTGGCCATGTCGGAGGATGATTTACCTTACGAAGTCCGAGTTACCCCCACCGGCGACTTGAAAACTGTCGGAAGGTATAACTTTGACGAGCAATTGAAGTCCACCATGATTGCACACCCAAAACTTGATCCGGTTTCCGGCGAGCTTTTCGCACTGAGCTACGACGTGATCCAGAAGCCTTACTTGAAGTACTTCCGATTTTCACCGGATGGAACGAAATCAAAAGACGTAGCGATTGATTTGGGAAAGCCTACTATGGTTCATGATTTCGCAATTACAGAGAATTTTGTGGTGGTGCCTGACCACCAGGTGGTTTTCAAGATGTCGGAAATGATCACTGGGGGGTCTCCGGTGGTCTATGACAAAGAAAAAGTGTCACGTTTTGGTGTTCTTGATAAGTACGCCGATGATGGTTCTAGCATCAAATGGGTCGAAGTTCCCGACTGTTTCTGTTTCCATCTCTGGAACGCTTGGGAAGAACCAGAAACCGACGAAGTAGTCGTGATCGGATCCTGCATGACTCCGGCGGACTCCATTTTTAACGAAAACAACGAAGAATTGAAAAGCGTTTTGTCTGAAATTAGACTTAATCTAAAAACCGGAAAATCCACTCGTCGAGCTATAATTTCCCCAGAAAATGACGTCAATCTGGAAGCAGGGATGGTGAACAAAAACCTTCTTGGCCGGAAATCTAAATACGCTTATCTTGCAATAGCTGCGCCATGGCCGAAGGTTTCAGGTTTCGCCAAAGTCGACCTCTCCACCGGGGAAACCAAGAAATTCATTTACGGCGACCAAAAGTACGGCGGTGAGCCTCTGTTTCTTCCAAGAGACCCCAATTCCGAAACCGAAGACGACGGCCACATCTTGACCTTCGTCCACGATGAGAAGACATGGAAATCGGAGCTTCAAATCGTCAACGCAATCACGTTACAATTGGAGGCGACTGTGAAACTGCCGTCGAGGGTTCCATATGGCTTCCATGGAACATTCATAAGCGCCAACGATTTGGCAACACAAGCTTGAAGAAACAGAGCCCAAGAAGCTTCCTTTTTCCGGTGCCGGCTGCATAAGAGATTTTACCAGAGGGATGGCTGAGATACGTCCCCGGAAATCTTCTCTTGAAACATAAACCTCCGACGGCTTTTGGGGGCTTTTCTGTAAAAAATTAAATGTTTTGGGCTCTTTTTGGATTTACATAGTATTTGAGGGGCCAGCTTGTAGCTTTTTGTGTATGTACAAATTGAAAGCTCAGCTTGGTTCCCTGTTATAGTTTTGGGTACAATCGTGACAGCGTGAAGTACATACGTTTTCAGCCAGTTTGTGAAGACTATTTTGTTGACAATAAACGGCAATATACTTTTTGTTGTATTAAGTATGAACACTTTGAGCCCTCTATTATCTCTTAACCTTCACATTCAACATAAAACATAAGTAAAATTCTCGACTATTAATTATTATTTAAAATATTGTGCTGTAATGATAAAAACGAGTTATTGTTATGACTTAGACTTATGTCAATGTCACTTAATACAGTTAATAGTTTTCAATTTTTTAAATGTTTCGTTTAAAACATATGGTTTTTGTATATTTAAATAACATATATTTTAAAGATATTTTTAACGGTTAATATTTTCTGATGCTTTTTTTTAATTAGTTAAATTATCTAAATCTATTTAAGATGTTTTATATAACCTTTATTTAATTAGTCAATGTTATATTTGAAATAATTAATAAATTATTACAATACACTATTTCAAAAGAAATATAATTAGTCAATGTTATATTTTAAATAATAAATAAATTATTATTACAATACACTATTTCAAAAGAAATATATTACGATACATTGTCTGGGAAAAAATATAAAAAATATTAATACGCCATATTTATAAAAGAAATTTGAAAATATTTTATAATCTTCATGATTTATATTTCATAAATAAAATGTTATTAAATATTTAATAGAATTAATTAGTTAATTAACAATACTTAAAAAAGATATAATTAAGAGAGTAAAATGAAAAATATTCAATATATTAACTATTAATATATATTAAATAGTCAATAAAAACAAATAAAAGAAATAAGTCAAATGCTCCAATAACAATAAAGAATCAATAAAATAATAATAATAATAATAATAATAAGCCATTAAAAAGGTTTTGTTAGAAATGCTTTTAGATGTCTAAAGTTCATCTCCAAAGTACTTAACAACTCTAACTTTCAATTATGTTCCATTGTTGTAAATTTTAAGTGATTTGGTTTTATTGTTATAAAATTTAATATTTCTTTTTGGTGATACTTATGTGTACATTTGATGCGTTATTTGTTAAAGAAGTTTTGTTAGCTAATACTAATAAAGTTTAAACCATTTTAAATTAGCTATTAAAAAAATAATAACTTTTTCAACTTTTTGAAAAATAATCACGTTTTTCGAATGTCTCAATCTAGACTCTTTTTCAAATTTGGAAATCTCAAAAAAAAAAATCCTAATATTTTATAATAATTTATGAAAATTCCTAAACTAAAATTTGTTTACGAAAAACATGAATTACCGATAAAAATAACGATTTGACTATCTTTTTCCGGTTTACCGGTTTCATTACTTACTTGGTTTCATTAAAGTCTCATTATTTTACTATAATTTATGAATAAGTCTCAAAGTAAAATTAAGTGATAATTTGGTCCTTTCTCCCTGTAACATTCATATTATCGGTTCCATTGTTGACCTACACGCCTAGTCATTAAATGAGCTGATGAGATGGATATGTTGAGTTATATAATGTTATGTTTACTATAAAACTAGATATGCTGATGCATTGTATATTTTTTGGTATATAAAATGCATCCATCGAAGACTGCAATAATTACATAAACTAGCAACAACTTCTTTATTTTTTAAGTTTATAAGAAATTTCAAATTATCTGTCTAATCTTATGTAACCCAGTATATCCATCTCATCAGCTCATTTCCCGCGTCTTTTTCCCGGAAACATACATTTTATCGGTTTCATTGTTAATTTGGATATATAATCATAAATGAGCTGATGAAATGGATATCAAATTTTACGGTAAACGTAGCATTATATAATTCATCGTATCCATCTTATCAGCTTATTTAATGAATAAACGTCCAAGTCAGCAATGAAACCGGTAAAATGTATGTTACATGAAGAAAAGAACAACGTCATCACTTGATTTTAGTTTGAGATTTATTCGCAAATTATGGTAAAATTAATGAGACTTTAATGGAACCGAGTAAGTAATGAAACCGGTAAACCAGAAAAAATTAGTAAATCGTCATTTTTACTGGTAATTCATGATTTTTCGTAAATAAATTTTAGTTTGTGATTTTTTCGTAAATTAGGATAAAATATTAGAACTTTTCTGAAGATTTCTCTTTCAAGTTCTTGAGTTTTTTTTTTCAAAATAATCTTTCTACTTATATTGAAATATTCATTTCAAAATGTGTAATATCACGGTTTTTTAATCAAATGTTTGTTTTTAATGTCATAATATGGTAAGTAGTTCTCATTTAATATATTTGTTTAACTTTTTGTTAGATATTAGTAAAAATGTTTTTTTTTCTTGAAATTCTGAAATAGTTTATTGGATTTCGTACTTGTTCTTGAAATCTTGAATTTTCTTTTTTCAAAACGTTAAAATTTTAGTCCAAAATCCATAATTTCAATCCGAAATGTAATTTTTTTGTTAGAAAAAATATTTTGTTATAATACACCAATACGAAATTGATGATTATTTTACCATTTTTTTGTAAATATACGTTACATTGTTGTTAATTTAATGGATTTCCTTTGAAAATATCTGCCACTAATAAACAATGCCTCCAACTAATAATTGAGTTTTACAATTTTATGTTTTTTTTTGGAAATTTTGCTACAATAATTTTTGGTAAGTTATACTGTTTGAATGGGCTTGACGTAGTTATGGGCTCCACGCTAATAAATAAATAATTTACACAAATATCTAGAATTAAAAAATATATATATACAAATACTTCTTGTAGAATTATTATATATTGTTATCGTATTTTACGCATAAATGCGGAAATATGTTGCACCAAAACAATAGTATTGGGGCGGTATTTATTTATCTATTATGAATCCTGTTTTCTTGGGAGGAAGGCATTTCAAATCAATTTTCTATCGATATACTTTTGTAAATATCCCTTAAAATATGGGAAAATATAATTGTTGCAACAAAAGAATTTAAAAGACGACAATTTATATGATGAATTCAATTATTCAGTGCTTGATGTTGATATGGATAAAGGAGTTTAGAGACAGGGTTATCCAAAAAAGGACAACAAGGCCTCTATTTGAGAATTGACATTCGAGATATTCGTAGATGTTTGATTAAATTGAACTTCGTATTTCAGAAGATTAATCAAATTTATTGGGTCATTAAGTTTTAACTTCAACCTAAATTGAAAAACAAATTAAACGGTTTTTGCATTTTTTAGTTCTGCAATTGTAAAGATGCTAAGCAATCTCAAGGTAACTATATGTCGATCAAGTGTTGATTTTCATTTTTCAATAATCTAGGTTCTTACGAGGTTCCAAAATTATTTGTTTTTGTCAATCACCATCATTTACCTTTGTATGCATGTTAACTGCTATTTTGAGGGTTGAATTCACATTTTTGCAACGACGTTTCACTATTTTCCAATTGATGCGAGGATATTATTTTATTTATTTATTTATTTATTTTATATACAAAATATGCTTTATGATCAAAAGATACAATGTTTTATCGATAACATGTTTAACAGGTTAAATAGTTGAACAAATTGGTAAAATAATAAAATTGTTGCATACCTGGTTAAAAGAATGTTGTTCCATATATTGGTAAACATTAATTGAAGTTTGGGGTTCAACTAACCACATAGGTACCTTCCGTTCGTTTTTATTCCATATGCTGTCTCTTTCATATGTGCAATTTTGTTTTCTTTTTATGATCGACTAATTTATAGGTCAATGTCATTCACAAATCGATGAATTGAATTCGATCACTTATCATTTTCTGTAATCGTCTCCTTGTTAAAGATCTTTAGTTGTTCCAAATTACGACAATTGTACTTTGTCATTATAACGTGTTATCAAAACTTGTCAATCATTCACTGAAGTGACACAAATGTTTTTTTTTTCCTGTTGTACACTAGAGACAAATTTTAATGATATATCAGAAAATTAAGAAACTTTGGTTTATTATTATTATTTTTTTTTACAAAAAGGTTTATATAGCATTTATCTCTTATTTGGTGAGTTTTTTTATTTAATGTTTAGGCTATTTATTTAAATGTTAATCTTTAGGTGATCAAGAATAACAATTTTCATCCGTTCACCCTTCTCTATTATAATAATTTCTTAAATAACATTCAAAATATAACATGGTATTTATATGATTCGATTGCTAACCATGGTTTGTGTGTAGATCTTCATCATATGATTCCATCTATCTTCCATGAAATTTATTTGGCTTTTTATGGTGTTGTAGAAGGTTACTCGTAATTATTTATTGTTGAAGAACATGGTCCTCCGTTGTATATTACTCCAACACAAGCATGATCCTTTTCCAGAAATCATTCCAGACTTTATATGTTCATTCCCAATCCTTGATGAAGCCTTGATTGCTGGAGTTGCTAAAGAATGTCACTTCAAATAGGCATCAAATATATTGTTTTACTAAGCTGTTTTACATTAATTAATTGGTTATATGACTAAAAAATATTATGAATATAATAATATTTAGAAATAATGGAAACACAAGTCCTAGGAGATGTGACACTGACAATAAAAGAATTTGACGTTCTTATCAATCTAATACTTTTAAGGGGAGTTAGTTTTGCAGCAAAAATAGTAAGTTGTAACTTTTGGATTGACACATGGTTTGAAGTAAAAATGTTTTTAGTACATGCGTAAAATCTAGAATTTTAAAGAAATTGACATAATGGATCTTGGACTTAAGTCGATCAATATAGGTAATGCATTTGTTCCTTTACT